GTTATATTTTTGAGGCACTGTGTTTCTACGTGTAAACCCAGTTTTATTTACATGATGTTATCGTTCCACTACTTTGTGTTGACATTGATTTTGTTGGCCTAGATAACTGTTTTACATGGTTAAGTGGGTAGCTGACATTCAAGCTTTAAATATTAAGCTAAAACCATTTTAAACCGTTTTTCTAATTCTATAATAAATCAATACATTCAGTTTTGACCTCATATCAATAATTTCCTAATACATTGTCACACTACTGTTTTTGGTGAACTGCTGGATATAGGAATATACACGTCTGTGTTTACATCCATTCTAAACAAAACCCCTGATGTTCACGGACATGTTATTTGTGATTTACCCACAATCCCACAGGCTGGCCCTGCTTACTGCAACGCGACATCACCGAGTCTATTGTATGTATATCTGCGTGAAATATATTCTGTATATGGAAAACACCGCTCTTCCGCGCGAACCGACGCTCACGCTCGCGTCGCGTCGCTCTCTGCACAATACGACAGGATTGCATAACAAACGCACGCGTTCTTACACGACACGATTCTTCACGCGCGTCGTGTAATTACACTATTACGCGCGTGCAGTCAAAAGACTCGCGCAAACGCGGATGAAAGCGCAGTAAATGGACGCGTTCGCTCAGATGTGATGTCATTGGCGTCAATGGCGCGTGTGAACGCGTGAAGTACCGCAACGAGTGATGCGCTCCCAGCACCAAACACACACACATCGCGTCCCGATTAAAGCGCTCTCCGCGGCTGGCCCGAGCTCTCGGTGGTGATGGAGCAGTACCGTATCTCCGGAGGATGCTGCTGCTGTCGCGGTGTCAGGAGACGGGTGGATCCGCTGTGGTCCTCGCGGCTCCGCGGTAAACGCGTTCTCCTCGGTCACCGAGCGCTGCTGCTCTCCGGGCTCGGCGTGTTTTCACCGGATCCCGTCGGCTGGACTGCTGATCGCGGATTTGGGGTTCATTAGTCGAGCGGAAGGAGCTGTTCCTCCTCTACGGTGCTGAAGTGACGTCACGCGGCGCAGGGGGCGCGCGCGTCAGCGTCAGCGCGGACATGATGTCAAAGCCACTTGCGATCTCTCTGTGACCTTCTGATGAATTCACGTTTAAAAGCGTTTAAGAAGAATCTGCTCTCTTGATCGAAGGTGTTTATACGCTGCGTCGATAGATATGATTCATATCACATTTGATGTGAAAATGATACACACCGATTGCATTAATATTACTATTTGAAATGTATAATAATAATGATAATAATAATAGACCTAATAAATAAATAGATACATTTACATTTAGTCATTTAGCAGATGCTTTCATCCAAAGCGACTTACAAATGAGGACAACAGAAGCAATCAAAACCAACAAAAGAGGAGTTCAAACATTAAACATATACAGCACAAAATCAGTCTTTACGCAGATGCCATATTACTGTATTTACAAGATCCCCCATCATCATTACAAGAAAAAATTAAACTTATCGATTCATTTTCTCACATTTCTGAATATTCAGTCAACTGGAGTAAATCTTCTATTCTTTCATTAGATCACAATAGCTTGGATGTGACATCCCAGACATCACCTATCCCTCTATGCACCAGTCACATCACATATTTAGGCATTAATATTCATATTAATACTCAGGCTGTCAGAGCTGGTTAGCCTTAATTTTACCCCATTACTCAAAACAATAAATGATGATTTTCAAGGTTGGATGAACGTACCACTATCCATTATGGGCAGAATATCAGTAATTAAAATGACTGTGCTTCCTAAACTAAACTATTTATTCTCAGTGATACCAACACAACCCACCCTCACCTGGTTTACAGTTTTTTATCTCACACACACACACACACACACACACATATATACATATATGTGTGCGTGTGTGTGAGTGTGAGTGTGTGTGTGCGTGCGTGTGTGTGTGTGAGTGTGTGTGCGTGTGTGTGCATGTGCGTGTGCGTGGGTGTGTGTGCGTGTGTGTGTGTGTGTGTGTGTGAGAGTGTGCGTGTGTGTGTGTGTGTGTGTGTGAGAGTGTGCGTGTGTGTGTGTGTGTGTGTGTGAGAGTGTGCGTGTGTGTGTGTGTGTGTGTGTGAGAGTGTGCGTGTGTGTGTGTGTGTGTGTGTGAGAGTGTGCGTGTGTGTGTGTGTGTGTGTGTGAGAGTGTGCGTGTGTGTGTGTGTGTGTGTGTGAGAGTGTGCGTGTGTGTGTGTGTGTGTGTGTGAGAGTGTGCGTGTGTGTGTGTGTGTGTGTGTGAGAGTGTGCGTGTGTGTGTGTGTGTGTGTGTGTGTCAGTGTGTGTGTGTCAGTGTGTGTGTGTGTGGGGGGGGTGTCAGTGTGTGTGTGTGTGTGTGTGTGTGTGTAAGAAAACAAGTAGATAGAATAAAAAAAAGAATAGAGAATGCTAGTTTTAGAGGGTCAAGTGTTGGTTTTTTTAATAAATAAAAAAGAAAACAGAGATAAAATAGAATTAGAATAGAAAGTGCTACACCTGCTCTCCTTATTTCTCTCCAATAGATCCTTTTTATGGGAATCATTGTTTGTTAAAGCTCATCGTGACAGACTTGAGAGCAGTTTTGTTGGTTAAACTGGGAAATGAGCCTGCCATGATCCGCTCTTCCCCTCTACATCTGAATGCTTGTCAAACCTGTATTTCTTCAGGAGTTCTTCAGGAGTGTCAGACAGTTGAGTCGGTGTGAGAACAGGTTCAGAGGTGGATCATTCAGATATCTGATCAGACCACTGAGGACAGCGTATGTTTGACCTCTGGAGCTTCTGACAGCTCTGTCGTCACAGAGGATTCTGTCGAGGTCTGTCTTGATGGTTTGTTTAAAGTCACACCTGTGAATAAAGCATTTCACTGTATGTTCTTCATTGTGAGTTCAGCTCTGGAGTCTCTCCAGATTGTTCCTCAAACCCCTCATCTATTTCCATGCCACCTAGAACAACTGGCCTTTTAAATCTTCCAATGAAACAAACATATGTTTATGTTAAGGGTGTTGCGCAGTTACACAGATGTGTTCAGTGAAGCACTCATAGCTGTGTTTCATAGTTAATAAAACGCTCCTACTGACCAATCAGCATCACGGACCACAGCTGACGTATGCGGGTCTCTCTAGTGAATTAACCGTGTCTAACATTGTGAACATGTATTTAGCAGCCAGTACAGCTGTGCTTATCTTCTCCAAATATGAAGGGCATTTCTCAGTATCGTGAAGTCCAGTGAATGATGGAATCAGAGTTTGAAGCCTGGGCAGAATTGTTTCTCTTCTGCTGGTATTTAGGACGGATGAAGAGAAAGTTTCTCATCCTCTGATCTACAGATCCTCTGCTCTCTCCGTGTCTGTGTTAGTCTTCCTCTTCCTCTCTCTTCTGGATCATGACCACTTCATCTGAATTTGGAGATGATTCGTCTTTAGAGATAATTTGCCAATTTAGAGGTTCTTTCTGGGGTCGAGTACATCGGAGTTTTTTTTTTTTTGGAGATCAAATTGTGTTTTTATTGCCTCATCATCACTGATTTTTGTCAGTTTCTTTAGGGCTGTAGCTGTAGTCAGTCAGTACTGTGTTTCATGGAGCAGCTGAAGAGCGAGTGTGTTTAGGGGATGGGATCTGGAGAGGTTTCTCTGGCCAGAAGTGTTTTATATGGGACTGAATCTGGATCAGAGCGGTGGAGGTGATGAACACATCTCAGTGTATTCAGCGCTGCTGGACCCCCACTGGACGTGCTTCTGTGGACCTCTAAAATGTAAAAAGTAAAAGTCTATTTCTATTTGTAGTTTTTCTACAAACATTTTATCCCACTTTTTAAAATGTAATACTGATCCCCAAATTTCAGATCCATATAAAAGCATTGGTTTTTATTATTGAATTATATTCTTTTACCTAAGCTTTAATAGGCAATTTTAAGTGACCAGATTATGACTTTTTAGCATAAAAAGGCCTCCTTGAACTTCTGTGTATGAAAGCCTCATTGCTTCAGAAAGCTTTGTTTTGCCGCCACTGCAGAAAGTCACACTAATGTAATCACTGCAGGTTCATTTGTTACTGATGGACTAATGTAAGATCCAGTGCATTGCATTATTCAAATAGTGAGGCAGAAGGTTGATATGAGATTCTTAACACAGTATTATTTTATTTGTAGGATTTCAAGTCTTTCAGATGTAAGATGTCCATTGGTCATTTTTTTATTTTCTTTAACTTTTTTATTTATTTTTTTATTAAAAAGCTGCTCCATTCCACTGAAGAGAAACTACTGTACATACACCGAAGTTCAACGATCTAAAAAAGAAGAAAAAGAAAAAAGAGAGACAAGGGGGAAAGGACTGCACAATGTGGCATTCAGAAATAAAGAGCAGGAAGAGTCAGGCCAGATCAGGTTTAATACTTGAAATTCTAGTTGCACTAAATCAGGTGATAAAAACAAGGAATGCAGTGGGATTCCTGAGATACAGGGCAATGAAGAGGCTGATGAGATGACAAAAAAATTAAAAAGCCATACACAAGAATGAAGTAGAACCGAAAGCAACGTATGGAAGAGATGAGTGCAAGAATATTATTTTGCAAAAATAACAAAATTATAAAAAATAAGAAAGGGAAGAGGGGAACAAAGGCGTTATTTTTTACTACAGAAAGCATTAAAACACATCAAACATAAGTGCACTGTGCACTGAATTATGGGATGGCAAGCATTGAGATGATATATATATACTGTGTGAATCATGTACTGATGGAATGCGTTATTCATCGCACAGCAACAGATCTCTTGTTTTCTGAGCTGCTGGAATCTGGAGGCACAGATTCTAAGTTCTGAAGACTATGAAACAACAAAAGCTGTTATTAACCTTTTACACCGAGCCGGTCTTTACGTAAGAACGCACTAAGCGGAGTTCTTCAAATGGACTGAGGAGGGCAGCAGTGCGCCTCTGACGCGTCGAGTCTGCCGCAAATCTCATAACAACAATGAAGAGTACGATCCTGATCCACACTCCTAATCAGTAGGTGGCGGTAATGCACCTAAAAGTTGTATGCCATCCGCCATTAAACACCAAGAAGAAAAAGAAGAAGAAGAAGAAGAAGAAGGGGACTTTTGTTTTTGCGTTCTCCTGCGGTGTTCGTCTGTCTCGTCGGGGCTTCCGTAGGCTGAAGGCGCGCGTGTGGTGTGGAGTGAGTGAGTTACGCTGATCTGATCAGAAGGTGAGCGCACTTTCCCTGCCGTGTTTTCTCGGGTCCCGCGTGTTTGTGAAGTCTGTGTGCTGTGCTGTGTGCAGGATGTGTTCTCTCGGTGTGTTCCCGGCTCCGGTAACGGCTGCACAGACGCTGCTCGAGCGCAACAACGAGCTTCTGTCCGCGCTTCATCCCGGAGAACACTCACAGGTCTGAGAACGCTTCCTATAACCCCTACATAAACACCAGCACAGGTAATGCATCACTGTCCGGTTCAGCAGCACCTGCTGCTCCAGACCTGACCACTAGACGAAACCCACTCAGTTTACCTCACGAACATCATCTTCTGCTCGAGTAAACATCTCTAATATCTCACACTGACTGACCTCGTGAAGAGCGCTCTGCCGAAGTCTTCTCCGTAAAACACATCTGAGACTCACAAAAGTTAACTTGATTCTAAGAAAGCCTTCACATTATTTACCTCTATTCGCATCTGCACATTGCTCCAGTGTGTTAATGTCAGTATTTACGACAGCCTGACACTAGAGTAGATTTGCTTTTGGGATTGCACACGTTTTTTTCATGATGATATTAAGCTGATTTATATATCACAGTTTAAGATATTGAATAACACAAAATCGCTACAGTAACATTTGACATATTGGAACAAAAACAAAAAAAATTGTGAAAAAAAAAGAAAAAAAAAACTTTTTTTGTACTTTAGTAAGTTATCCTTGATTCTGTTCTGTAATTGAAAACAAAAATAAAAATAATTTTAGATTTAACTAAGAAAAAATCTGAAACCCACTCCAATGAGCAGTGTTGCCAAGTCTTGGGCTACTTTAGCACTGTTGCTCTGGGTTGTCTTTCCTGTCCGTGGATTGAAGCGACCCCCAGTAACGTGATATTTAGCCCCAGCGATGTGAATTTTACCAGGGGAACCTCGCCAAAAAACATGTATTTTACTCCTGAAATGTGATTTTTACCGGGGGACCCCCTCGAAATGCCATTGGGCTAGTTTTGAGTAGCAGTTGGGTGGGTTTTGTGGTGAAAACCTGGCAACCCTGCCAGTGACTTTCAACAGCAACTCCTTTATATCAGAGAAATGTTTCCATCACCTGTCCCTATATATACTGACGGATCAGACGCTGAGGACCATGTATCATCTGCATTTGTGATCCGCCACCGAAAAAAGAGGAATATCCATCACCAAACACAGCTCAGTTTAGCAGCAAATGCTATCATTTTGGCGTTAAACTGCATAAAGACTATGGAACAGAGAAATGGTCTTTTAATTCTAAATTCAAAGTTCTGTCTTCAAGCTCTTAAAAACGATCACCTCTAATGCACATAATGATTTTTTTACAAACTGCTGCAGCTAGAGGATGGTGATTTTAATATCTGGTTTTGTTGGGTACCAGGGCAGACTCTGCTGCAAAAGAAGCATTATCGGCAGACCTCGACATCTGTGCAGTTCCTCCTATGGATTTAAAACCAGTAATTTGTTCCCATGTTAATAACAAATGGCAAAAACAGTGGGATCTATATACAATGAATAAACTCCATGAAATTAGGCCCAATGTTGAAATTAGGCTCAATGTTGAAAAAAGAAATTTCGATCAGTTTTCCAAGCGATGGCAGCAGATTGTTTATACCCGCTGTAGAATAGGTCTCTGCAGGATGACACACAAGTTTTTAACACTAGAAGAAGATCCTCCAACATGCTCTCTCTGCCAAAACCCTTTATCCATGAAGCATGTTTCATTAGACTGCTGGTTTTAACCCTGTGTTTATTCAGTTAACTCTTTTGAAGAGGTGTTGTGTGTGTCTGGTTGCAGCCGTGTGATCTGCCCAGTCCTCAGTTCACCAGAGACACTCTGAAGGGTCACAGTCGTCCGGAGAGCAGCAGTAGATCAGCCTTCCTGGACCAGAGAGACACGCTGTGGATGAGGAGCGCTGGAGCCTGGTGAGAGCTTCCACTTCTGCATCATTACACTCAAGGACTTTTGTGGTGACTTTAACTACTCCTCAGTTTGACAGCTTAATGCGAGTTGGTGAATAACGCTCTCAATAGCTCTGTTCCTCGCACAAAGCTTTCACTTGGCTCCAGAAGGCATGGACTGTTTTCATGACACTCCCATGGTGTTTTCTGAGCGAACTGGAATCCGTTGAAGAAAAAGCTCGGTGTGTTTCCTGCCGGGTTGAATCCTTTCTCCTCAAGTGTTTGTTCCTGAAGCAGATCACGATGTTAGTCTTAATCAGTAGTTTTCTATTATGTATTAATGCTGCTCGTTTCGATTATAACACTTTCTGTTCTATCACATGCAAAATGCGTGTCGTATATTCTTGAGTATTTGAAATGGTTTCACTTTATTTTGATGGTCCCTTTAACACATTCTGTTGACTATACTTGCACCTACACATCTACGAGCTCTCATTAGAGTGTTAGTAGAGTACTAGTAGACTGGTAGGGTTAGATTAAGTTGACATGTACTTGCAAAGTTACTTATAGTCAGTAGTCTGTTGGGACATCATCACAATAAAGAGACAGCAGATGTTTACTGAAGTTACTAAATGTCAACCGAATGCTCAAAAGGGACCCTCAAAATAAATCATCTGAACTGAAATGATCAGATGTTGGGTTTAGTGGAGCTGTGACGAGTTGACTGCACTGGTGTCTGTGTTTCAGGCGTGATGCGGGACTGCACGGTCTGTTAGATGAGATCACTAACAGCGCAGAGGAAGGTAAGGCTCTCTGACAGGCTATAATCACACAGCGGTCGCTGTCAGGCGCATGAGCCGCTGTCTGCTTGTGTTTCAGTGCCCAGGTTCCTGGCCGTCGGATCCGCCTGCGTCCTGGCTCTGCTCAGATGGGCTTCTTCATTCCACGGCTCTCTGTTTCCACATCTGACTGTGAGTATGAGCTTGGATCGTGTCTAAGCTTTAGATCTGTGGCAGCGTCACACTGCAGTCATAATGGACGGCGTTTCTTTCTGTCCGCTAGCTGAGCAGTGACGAGATGGTGGCAGAGTTTTCACAGATGCTGGATTGGTACGTTTACACTGTTTTGGTTCTGAGACCTTTATAAACTGAGCACGGGAGACGATCCGTGAGCTTCTGGTCTGGTTTCTGTTGTTTTCAGGTCTGACAGCGCTCTGAGAAGCTTCGCCTGGCATCCGCACACTGATAAGTTTGCTGTAGCTCTGCTAGACGACTCCATCAGGATTTACAAATCTAACAGGTATCCCATTGGACACGAACACAAATCTTACATTACATATCAAAAAGTACAAGTTAGATTTTATACTGTAAATCAAAATGACAATTATGGATCCTTGTGCACCATAAGTGCAGTTTGAACGACAGCTCCGTGTATTCATTCAGCAACAAAACCACTTAGACTTTGTTTTTATGATGTACCTAAACGTTTTAGAGTTAAATTGACTTGAATATGACATGATGAAATGTTGATAACATGTAAAGCATCAAAAGGCAAATCTGTGTCTGAGAGCCTGGGTTTTACACACTTTGTTGAAAGGTGCATCAGTCTGGTGCACTTTGAATGTTTGAAAACCTATTTTCAGGATCCAAATTGAGTATAAAGTCTTGGCATTAGCCTTGTAGCTGGAATTCAAACTGAACTCAAACCTGTTTTTAGTAGTCTCAATCTGCATTACATTCACACTGGTGCTTTTAGGAAGAGAAACCATTCTTTTGTGTAAACTTCACTTACAGAAGATAAAGCCGTGAGCTTTCATTTTGATGGAAGGCTGCAATTTCAGTGAAATTACAAATGCTTCTCAGTAAAAATATGGTAAAATATGGTAATGCACGAAAGTGTTGGAAATTACCCAAATGTGAAAATTGCAGTAATTTTTGCCAAAGGTGCTTCAACGAAGTACTGAGTTACTGAAAACTTATGCAAAGATGATACTTTTTTTTTTTTAAATGTGCAAAGTTATCACACATCCATTTTTGTTTGTTTTATTTGCTTGGCATGGAGTGTGTAGATTGATTTAAATAATAATGTAAAGCATTTTTAGCATAAGGCCGAAACAAAATCAAAATGCAAAAAAATGGATTTGAGTAGTTGCTGAATGCACTGCATGAACTGTTGCATGAAATCAACATCACACATGCAGTCGTGCTGATATTCGTGAAAACAGCGCTCCTGATCATGTGCTGCTCACAGCTTGGTTGCTAGTGAGTTTTCTAGTTTTGTTGCATGATTTGCGATGTTTCTGATCCTGCTAGCAGCACAAGTTGAAGCTCCGTACTGATTTCCAGAAGTGTGATTAGATGTAGCTGACTTCTGTTAATTGAAATGAATGATTGCAGCTTCAGTGTGTGTTGTGCTGCAGTTCTGCGACGCCGACGCTGAAGCACCGCTGCCAGAGGTCCGTGTGCGCTCTGCAGTGGAAGCCTCTGTGTGGCTCTGCTCTGGCCGTGGCCTGTCAGTCCTGTCTGCTCATCTGGCACGTGGACCCCACCTCTCTCTCCACCAGGTACTGCTCAAACACCGCCTCCCTCTGGCACACTACTGTTTCAAAGCAGCTGTGGAGAAGACCATCACGCCACACAGGCAGAGCGCGCAGATCCGGTTTGATGTGGTGTTTTTCCTGCAGCGTGTGAATGCGTCAGGTGTCCAATATGTGTACATTTAGGGCAGGCATATTACAATGGCGGACGTAACCGCAACGCCAGCACCGTCTTCCATTTCTAAATAAAGCGTACCACATCATCACAACAGAGCGGTTCACACCACAAGCGCTAGGGGTCCTTTATGGTAATGATCCACGTATATTTTTTTATTTATTTATTTTTTATCTAGAGCCAGACGCGCTTCATTCAAGCCGTGCGCTTCTAAAGATGCTAAAGCACCAGTAAGAGCAGCGGATGACGCGCTTATTTTAAAAACAGCAGAAACAAAGTAAAATAGATCGATACTGTTGCTAAAAACACAACAGAAAACAACAATGCTGCAAATATCATCTGACCGTTCAAACCAGGTTTTTTAAAAATCTACATTTAGCATTATTAATCACTATGTTAAGAGCATTTTAAAAATAAACATAGGCTATGATTCTTAAAACTGGGAAAATTATTTAGATGCAAGGAAAGACAACATAAACATTGAAATTAATAGTTAACTTTGTTTTATGCTCATGATGAGAGCGTTTTGATTGTTTGTTTTAAGCAAAGTATAAAAATCATCCAAACATTAAGAGAAAATCTCTTAAGCCCCCATATCTTTTCTGTCTCATGGGCTTCTGCCTTACATATGTATCTAAACGTAAAAAAAATAAATAAATAATAATAATAGCTTGGTAAAACATCTGACCTTAGCTGTTAATACTCGTATCTAATAGGGCTCAATTGGTGAAATTTTTTTTTTTAAATAGAAATAGAAAAATTCTCAGAAGCCACATACATACAGTATATATACAGCTTACAGTTCTCTTCATTCATACGTCTGTGGACCAGATTTTTATGGGCAAACCTGTTTCGTCATCGTGCTCTCTATGTGCTGTCGGCTTTTATCGTGAGCTTCAAAGGTTTGTTTGAGGTTATTGCTGGTTCCAGTAAGAAAGACTTGTCTTTTCCTGGAAACTGACAGCAAACGGTGCAGAGTTAGCAAACGCTGCCCCCATGTCAAAGTGAATTTCATTGCTGTGATGGTCACGTTGTTTCATCAGGGTGAAATGCATTCAGAGGGGCGACCCACACCCTGTATAATTAAAACACTTTTTAAAGCAAACTGTTATAAGAGCAGTCTTAATCTTATGAGTGTACACCATTCAAGTGACTCGTCACAGAAACAGTTTATTTTCTAATGTGTACAACTCGCTAGGGCTGTCAAAAAAATGTGAATTTAGAATAATCGTCGAATTGAAAATAAAAATCCACGTTCGAATGCAAAAACGCTGCATTCGAATTTAAGGTGTGCATCAGGCTGCCTTTTCAGTGGCGCACGAGATGCGATGATGATGTAGGTGTCGTTGCATTTTAATGTTTTTCTTAGCTTATCCAGTTGAAGCCACTACATGTGGCACTGCTGCATTGTTCATTCAAAATATTGTAGAAAAAGAGAACATCAATGCGGAGATGTTGTTGTTTACATCAAAACTGAAACCAAGCCATTCACACAGAAGACATATTTATCGCATTTTCTAGTGGGACATCTATCACCGTTGCACTCGCGAAAAGTTCAAAATTAAAAAAATATTTTAAGTAAAATTAAAGTTCAACTTTCAAAAAAACATGTCTCGAGACTTTATGGCGGTTTTCCCCATCCCACTGCATCTCATGCTTTTAAATGAAGAAAGTACTCTTTGTGATTGGTTTTCAGTCCTTTGTATTAAACTATATATACATACATGATGCTGTTTTGTTTCTAATTGTTTAAGCAACTTAATTATATATGGTTTATAAACATTATTTTAAACATTATGCACTTTTTTTCAAAGATAGTTGTTATTTTATTGCTTTGAAGAAATTAGTAATATTTTGCTCGATGCGCCCTCTTGTGGCCTCAGGAGAGAATCCAAAAGCTTTTTTCCCCCTAACTGGAATTATGCCTTTTAAATTTAAATATAGTTTGAATATTGATAATATTTAAGTACAAAATTCGAGTTTAGTTTTTCAGCCATTTTGACAGCCCTACAACTCGCACCAAGAGAAGGAACAATGAAGCGTTATCAGACGTAGCAACTTCGAAACCAGTCGGTACTGAAATGTAAAAATGTAACGAGACCAGCATTTCCCGCAATCCGTTGAGCGTGTGAACACAATAGCCAATCAGAGGTGTTTAAGAATCCGCTCAAAATGCTGGTATCGTCAAAATTTTTAACTTTCAGTACCGACTGGTTCCAAAGTTGGTACGTTTGACAACCCTACTTCAGACACGAAATCTGTGCATATATAAGCGTCAGTCAGAAGGGAAAGCAGGAGAAGCCGTGATCTGACTGAGTCAATTCAATTCAATATGTGCTTTATTGGCATGACAATTGTTACAATGTATTGCCAAAGCATAGTGTTTACATCGAATCTAGAACAGATATATATGCAACAAAAACATGCATGTATATACATTTTAAAAGTAGAACAAATTAACATTTTAGAATTCTACGAACAATTTATAATTCAATGTGGTGTGTGTGTGTGTGTTGTGGTGTGTGTGTGAGAGTGTGTGTGTGTGTGTTTGTTTGGGCAGCCAGTGCTGTCGATATCTGCCCGTCTCTATAGTCAGAGTATGATTGCTCAGTCTGTACCTCGTCATCTGTCTTCTTAATTTACAGTCTTGCACTGTACTCAGATATTCTGCAGTTGTGTAATCTCTATTTAGGGCCAAATAACATTTGAGTTTACTTTGTTTTTCTGTTGTTTCATTCCAATAGGTTAGATAATTTTCTTTTTGTGCTTTTATAATTTGGTTGGGCCGAATTTTGTGGATGAATATTTCAGAGTCCTGATGCTGGATGTTAGTCATGTTAGTTTGTTTTTGCAGCTTTAGGACCATCCGAATCAGGGGACTTTTTTCAGTCTAAAGTGGAAAAAAAAAAAGAGTCTGTCTCTCTCTCTCTCTCTCTCTCTCTCTCTCTCTCTGTCTCTCCCATCACCTCCATCGCTTGGTCCCCCACCGGCTCCCTGCTTGTGTCTGCGTCTCCTGTCGACACAGCCATGATGGTAAGCGCCAAATCTCAAGTCTTCCTGCTCAGTTTAAATGCATACATTTGTTTAGCAGATCTATGTGAAGTTGGTACTCATCACCACTGTATATTTTAGTGTGACGCAGAGAAATGATGTAATTCTCTGTAGGAGCAGTGACAGCTGTCAACTTAATACAGAAACAGAGCGAGCAAAAAAAGAAAGAGACTGGCATTATCCAAACAATGTTTAGATTGTTTCCAGATCTAAAGCGTAAATGGCCTTACTGTAGCTTCACCTAGTGTGTTTGGGGTCATTTGGATATACCTCAACCACAACATGTCAGTTTTTTTTTAAGAAAAAAAAACAAAACACTCTCTCAACTAATGCTTTGAAATAAACAGGGAACTAACTCTGGTACATTCAAGTTAAGGGTTTAATTTAACTACCGGGCCCAAATATTTAACTTAACTACTACTTATTTTTGATGGACCAATATTGATTTTTAGATCTCGGTCTGTGCTGTTTTTTGTTGATTTGTGAACAAAATGTCACTAAACATTATTTTTTTAGAGCACCTACCATGCAGTAATTGCAATGAGCTTTGCTACTTTTGATCAGAAACAAAGTCTTCGCTTTTAAATTTGGTAAATTTTATAACTAAATTCAATCAATTTATTCATTGATCTGAGACCATGTGTGAAAATGATTTATTTTTTATGTACTTGCCGAAAAAAAAAATCAAAGTTCATACTTCCAAAAAAGCATCCATATTGCAGCTGTACAGGGCTGTTCTCACCAAGATGAATATTCAGTTTTGATAAACATTTTCATTTGTATGAATGGCAGTCAATGCAGACGTTTTTTTTTTTCCACAGACTTCATGCTGAACTTTAGTTGGAGTGAATAGGCCTGAAGTCATTTTGTTTCTTTGTTTCATATTCTTCTGTTTATATGCAGGATTAAATTCAACTTTGAGTTCCTGTTGTCAGTGTGGCCACGGACTGCTCGACCTCACTGACTATGTACAGCATTAGCTATGAAGGATAACAATGGTCTTATGGTGGAATTAGAATGTGAATTGTGGCGTATGTCATAACGGTGGTTTAGGAATGGAGTGCTTTATTGTTTGTGTGTGTGTGTGTGTGTGTGTGTTGTGCTGTAGGTGTGGGATGTGGCAGCAGAGAGCGCTGTGCCGCTGCAGCGGGTGGGTGGTGGCGGCGTTACGTATCTCTCATGGTCTCCAGACGGTAGCCGACTGCTGGCAGCTACTCCATCGGCTCTTTTTAGGTACAGTCACGTGATCCATTTAAAACACGAGTGTGCAGACATACAGCTCTCCACTCGTTCAGGCCACTTAATATAAAGTGGGACTGAATATTTCATTGTGTTCACTGTTCAGTATAGATTAAAGATTGATATGCAGATACTATTCATTAGGTTCTCCGTTTCAGACTGTGTGTGTGTTTGTGTGTGTGTGTGTGTGTGTGTTGTAGGGTTTGGGAGACGCGCATGTGGACGTGTGAGAGATGGCCGTGTCTGAAAGGCAGTTGTCAGGTAAGAAAACTTCGGAAACTGAGTGTAAAGGGCTGTTCACACCAATAACAATAACTGTAAAGTGTTAATAATCAGTCTAATTCTATTAGAACTGTGAAGTTAACACCATACTCGTAACGATAACGACCCGGGGGAATGATTTTATTGAAATCACTCCAGTTGATGAGTGAGAAAATCATTGACAGCCAATCAGAATCCATGCGACTCCATTTAAAGTGGCAGATGACAAATATGCAGTGCACGTTTAGTCTGTTGGAGTGGACGCTATTATAGTTCTGTCGTGACAACTCTCGGAGGGATTGGCATGGTAATGTACGTGACAATGTTAATGTATTTGATCTTGGTGGAAAAGATCTGCTACGCTGCTGCAATACAGCCACAACATGCTGCTGTGAGCATGTAAGAAACACTGCTGCTGCACATATAACATACATGAAATAACCCCCATATAGCATACATGAATCCCCTCGTAGCAGCTCTATACAGGTGGAGCTGGGGAAGGTGGAGGGTTTCTGAAGCATGCTGCAAACTGCTACAGCAAGCACTAGTCATATATTTGAATGTTGAGCAGCAAGCTCAATGGCTATCGATACAGGAGAGAACCAATCAGCTGTGACATGTGATGTAATTATGTAAAAATTTAGTTCGATCTATCGGACTGCACCATCTAGAGTTTCATGCCAGAACTTTGAATTTAACACTGTCTTTATATGTTTTTAGTGTAAAATGGCCTTCCTGTCCTGTGATTTAGAGCGGGAGCCAAGAAAAAAATCTTCCTCTGTGCTTTCTCTATTTGTAGCTTGTACTATTCTAAACAATATCTGAAACTTCATATTACGAGCACTTCCTGTGTTTATTTGCCTCTTTATGATGAATTGCTTGTCGCATTCCTCCAGGGTGTCCGCGGGTCCTTAAAAAGTCTTAAAATGTCTTAAATTCTGATTCGATGGGTCTTAATTATTTTTGGTCTCATTACCGCTAAAATATCTTCAGTCTGACGGACCTAATGACTGTTTACAATCATTGGACAGACCGAAGATGTTTTCTTCCCCGCGGTAAGTTACTGCATCATCAGAGAGAACTGCAGTAAGTTAGCAGAATACAGAATACAAGCTCGCGCTGAGGTAGACACCATATTGCCTGTTTTTGCTCTATTTCGCCAACAAAAATCATTCCGAATACAGTCACAGCGCTGTTTTGTGTCTCTGAGCAACATGACGGTGTTTCGTTCCTGAATTAATCAACTGTTTAAATGATTCGGTTCAGTCGCAATGACTCACTTAACAGTGACTTACTGCCACCTACTGGCGGTTTTAATTTCACGTTTAAAGTATCTTTTCATTTTTAAAATTATTTCAAATATCAGTATTCAATGTTTTATGTTTAATATATCAAAACATTATTTATGCATTTGTAACTGCACGTTAAATTCATTCATGTTCTGCATTAAACAGTGTGTAAACACATCTAAATGTGCACCACTTCAGGTGCAGCTTATGTCTGGATTGCAAAGATGAATTTTGTTGATACTGATTTCATTTGCTTGGTAACAGCCCAAATGTCTTATTATTCTAATTCACTGATTAAATGTAAGAATTTGACTCAAAAGATAATGCACACTTATAGAAAAATGGCTTTATAAAGGTAAAATGCCCATAAAAGATAAAAATCTATTTAAACTTATTGGAAAAGATAAATTTCTATCTGACCACCACACAGAATATGAAGAATATCAAAAACTGTAGGAATTACAGGTTTAGGTCTTAAATTTCATATAAGGTGGAATTAAAAAGGTCTTAAAAAGTCTTAAATTTTACTTGTTCATGTCTGCAGAAACCCTGTCCTCATTTGTAAGTGTAAATGAATAAGTGTAAATGAAAATTATCACACCTGCAAGCAATGTTTCTGAAAACTGTCCTTCATATAGCTAAAGGAAGTGATTCACAATGTGCACACTGCATTGCCCGTGTTTTAACTGTGTTTGTGTCTGTGATCGTGTCAGTCGGCCTGCTGGAGTCCTGACGGTGGCTGTCTGCTGTTGAGTATGCAAGGAGAGAGGGTCATATATGCGCTCACCTTCTCCGATCTCACAGGTATGAACAACAACACATACGGTCCTCCGGTTACCTGTGTCTCCTGAAGACCATGCTTGTCAGTTATTATTGTGATTCTGAAGGGGTGAACCTTTGGCTAGATGAAGATTCACTTTGACTCATAACTCATAGGTTCTCTGTTCAGTTTAGAACCATTTGATTCACAATGAAAGTGAATTAGAAGGTCTAGAACCAAAGCAAAACGTCATTTTAGGAGTTGGACAAACGTGAACGCCACCACAAAGTCATAATTAGGAGCAGTTAACTCTGAATTTTCTTTAAGCCCTGAGTTTCCGAGTTGAGGGCGTGTAAGCAAGAAAACATGTTGAAATGAATGAAAAGATTATTACCTATAAAATCCATCTACAAAATACAATAGCGTTGTACAAGAATGCTAGAATATAGCAATTCAGTTTACAGCACTTTCATAAATTAAAAACAAAAAGCAAAAACACATTGATGCACATTATTTATTCATTATTTTGTAGATGTAGAGTTTTTAAAAAAAAACTTAAGAGAGAAGGAAAAGGTAATTTGCCATCTTGCTCTGACCAAAGTGACTTGAACACAACTGATATCGTAATTATGACTTGCCAACTCGTAAATACGAACTTCCCAGGAAGACTTGTGGTGCATTCAAGTCCTTTTGGGAAGTTCGTATTTACAAGTTGACAGGTCGTAATTAAAAGGTCAGGTGTGTTCAAGTCACTTTGGTGTAGGGATGGGCGATACAGGCTTAAAAATATATCACAATAATTTCTGGTATTTATTGCGATAACGATATCAATGACGATAATTCAGGGAATCCGGTTTCTTTAGAGAAAAGTATTATCTTTCCTATTTTTACCCAAAATAGGGTGTTGTGAGCATTACTGATTACACACGTAATGTAATGACCGTTTAATTCATACTGGAAGCCGGAGGGCGCTCTTGCGCAGAAACATATGCATCGCAGGAGTAATAGCACTGACGACGCTCCAGGAAATCCCTAATATGGACAAAGGTATCCAGTTATCGCTGAATAAAATGCACAACGGACATAGAGAAGCTTTAACTGATGAAACTTTAAGACAATAAACATACGATTGCACAAAATAAATGGTTTATCTGTGTTCTTCAAGCAATCTTGGGTATTTTTTATAAGGAAAGTATATTTATAATGCAATGCTAATCGACATAGCCTTTATCACTGTATATAAT